CACACACACACACACACACACACACACACACACACACACACGCATGTTTCCTAAATACAATCTGCTCAGTTTATATAACATTCCTCATGTACATGTTTTCAGTGCTGACCCTTTAGTATTGTATGCCCAATTGGAAACTATTTCTTCCAATCGCAAAATTGTGTAGTTGCCTGTAGTTCTTTTGTGTAGGGTTGAGGCCTCATAGGCTTTACCCAACCACTTTGGCATGTCTATTGACATCTTTTAATTAGACAGAATGCCATAATAAGAGTACTAACAAAGTATAACGAATATAATAGTTCATATAATATTCATACAGTATGTCTGAGGATACCAAATGAATTAAAACTACAGTCTGTGTTGGTGCTAGGGTGACAGCCAAGTCTAATTTTTCCCTCATGAAGAACTCATCTCAATGTCACACATAATTATATGAGTGATAAGAGATGGGTAAAGCAAGTAACAGAGTGCACGGACAAGGGAGCAGAATGTCAATCTTTTTCTATTCTCTTGTGCTTTGTACTCTCAGCATGGATTTCCCCACAAAGATGACTTACACGTTCTCCTTTCATCGTGATCTTCACGATCATCTTTTTGGGGTCATAACATTGACAGTGTAAGTACATCCAGTGTTCTTGCCTTGGTTTGTGTTGCTTTTCATGGTTGCTCCTGTATTAATAAAGGCCTCCTTAATGTCCTGGAAGAGCATCCCTGGCCAAAGGGAAAATGTGGCATGTGCATGAAACACTGTTTAAAATATAATTGCCGGATTAAGAATGTGTGATGAAATTAGATCCTCATCATATCTGAAGAATCTGAGGATCTTTCAAGTAAAGTCATGGATCTTATCCAGAGATTTTATGATTCATAATATCTCAATAATGCTAGTTGCTAATGTCAGTTGCTCAACAAACATGCATAAATTAATTGAAAAAAAGAGGGCTGATGCTGGATCTGTGGTGACCACTGGAACTTTAGGAGTTGTGTGGATCATGACTACAAGTCTGGGATTCTAAGGTCCACGTCATAAAAGTGCTAGTATTTACCCACCATCTTAGTAACAGATGATAAGAGTAGTCTACTTTTCAATTAGATAAAATATCAATAAAAATAAATTTGGGGCTCATTTTCTAATCAAGATATAATTATACAACAATAATACTGAAAATACATATCAAGCAGACTTGAAAGCTGAGGATGCCATGCCATATCAGCTAAAATTATAGGCAAGGTTTATAGGTTGGATCAGAGCCATGGCTGCTTGGTCCATAAAAAAGAACACAACATAGTGCATTTTGTACTTAGCTGAATGGTAAGAAGGATAATTTCAAGCATGCAATATATGAATAAATGAACAATATCTATCTTCTCATATTTTCATTCTCAGAATGGAGCTCCAAGCTGATTTTCCACATTCTTCTTGGTCATGAGCTCGGTGACCCACTCTTGGTATTCACGGGGTGGATGAAGTGTGAGTACAATCTTGTCTTGGTTTGAGTTGCCATTTGTGACTGATGATAGTATTGTTCAAGTTTTTCTTGCCATGATTTGGACAAAATATGGCATTTGGATACACTACAATGTTTAAGAAAAAATTTTGCCAAATTAATAATTCATAAGGAAGGAAATGTGCCACAGGGCTATGGACCTATAAAACTCTGTATTAGTCTAAAAACTTTTGTATTTTTGTTACTCATAATTATTTCAGTATCACAAGTGATCAGTTCCTCACTCTGCATCATGAAATCAATAGAGGAAAGGAGGGCTGATGTTGGGTCTGTGATGACCACTGGTGGCATATGATTCGTGGATCATGATTACAGGTCTGGAAGTCTGAGGTCCACGTCATAAAATAGCTAGCTTATACCCATGATCATAGTTGCAGATACGATTAATTTTCTACTTTTATAATCAGACAAAAATACCTTTGTAAGGCTTTACTAATTAAGTCATAACTCCACAGCAAGAGTTCTAATTATTTACACAAAACAAAGTCGTTTATTCTGACAGCATGTTTAACTGAAGCCATATAAACTAAAATTATAGCCAGTGTTCTTGGTAGAGTCGGTGCCACGCTTGCTTATTTTCTTAAAGAACAACACATAGTGATGTAGGACACACTTGGATGAGGCTTCAGATGAAAAGAACAGAATGCATGCCTCAGTAAACACATGTCCATCTTTTTACACCAAGTTCTGCTTTGTAGTCTTCCAATACATACCCCCAAGGTGATTTACACATTCTGCTTTGGGCCTGAGCTTTGTGGTGAGCATGTTGAGTTTGTAATATAGACAGATACAGTGTAAGTAGTGTCAATGTTCTTACATTCATTTGTCTTGATTTGAAAAGGACTACTTATTATCTGGGAAGAGTAATTAAGACCAAAGGGAATATGGCATGTGTGAAACATAATATTTAACAAGATTTTGTGTAATGAAATGGATTTTGTGTAATGAAATGGATACTTAACAAAGATCTTGAGGAACTTTTAAGTATTTTCAAGGGTCTGATCCTCAGATTTTTGTGAATCATAATTGTCTTGATAGTACTAGCAATCCATTGTTCAATAAATATGCCTAAATTAATAGTGAATCATAGCTGGTCATAGATCAATGATGACCAATGCTGGTATATGTTATGTAGATTATGACTACAGGTTTGGATGTCTGAGGTGCACATAAAATCTTCTACCATAATATCATGATCTTGGCAGGAGATATGATAGTCTACTTTTATAATTTCATAAGTGAAAATAGATTGTTAAGGCATTTCCCAATTAAGGAGTGACTCAAAAGTAGGAGTACTAATATATACCAAAGAGTAGTTCATTCAGAGCAGATGACTGAGGGTACAACATGAATTAAAACTACAGGAAATACCCTTGGTACTGTCAGAATCAGCTCAATGTCTGATTTCTCAGGGAGAGCACATCATAATGTCATACATACTTCGATGTGTAGCAAAGAGGGAGCCTACATGGGCAGGTAAATGGACTCCCAGTCTTTTTATGATCTCCTTTGCTTTTCTCAGATGGATATCACTAAGCTGATTTTACATTCTCCCTTGGTCATGAGCTTTGTGATCTACCCTTTCGCTTCGTAACATTGCCACAGTGTGAGTATGGTCTGTGTTCTTGTGTTGATTTGAGTTTCTTTGAAAGTCTGTTCTCTGTATTGAGAAAGACTATCTATCATCTGTAAAGAACAGCCATTGACAACATATGTGTTGTCAATAACACAATATGTGTATTTTCAAATTGCCCAGTTTAGAATATGTAACAACAGACCCTATAAAGCACTGGCTTATATGTAATGATCTTGTCCTTAGATATTTGTAATTCATAATTATCTTTATTGTAGACCTGATCAATTTCTCAATAAACACACATAAATTAATGTTAAAAGGGAGGGCTGATGTTGGATCAATGATGACCAATTGTGGCATATGATCGTGGATCATGACGACACGTCTGGGAGTCTGAGGTCAACATCCAAAGTTATCTAGCTTATGACCATGATACTATCAGTCGATATGAGTAATATTCTACTTCTGAAAATCGATAAAGATAGAAGCATAAATAAGCTAATAATATATTCACCAATTAAGACAGACATAACTCAACATACTAAAAGTATCAATAATAGAGTATATTAATCTGACAGTATGAGTGAGAATGCCATATGAACTATAATGAAGGCCTATGTTCTTGGTAGGGTCAGAATGATGGCCATTTGCTTTCTCAAGAATACTTAAGATTGTGATACATGCTTAGATGAAGGATGAGCAAAGTTAGGAATATGAGAGGAGCAACACAAGCATACAGAATGCATGGATGAATAAGCAGAGTTTAATCTTGTTCTAATTCCTTTTGCTTTGTACTCTCAGAACAGATACCCAAAAAGTGAATCCCACATTCTCCATTGGTCCTGAGATTCATGATGAGCACTTTGTATTTGTAATATAGACTCTGTGTGAGTATTATCGGTATTCTTATATTGATTGGGTTGCTTTAGAAAGCTGTTCCTGGTATTGATAAGAACTACTTATCACCTGGGAAGAGCAGCTGTTGGCAAAGATTTACTATGGGATATGCATGAACCACAAAGTTTTGCCAACTCATGAATGTCTGACAAAAGAACTCTGATTTTTGTCCTTAGATCTTTGTTATTTGTCGTTATCTCAACCAGCACTAATAATCAATTTCTCAATAAAGTTGCCTAAATTAATTGACGAGGGCCAATGTTGGATCTGTGATGACCACTGGTGCCGTATGAGTCTTGGATCGTGACTACAGGTCTGGGAGTCTGAGGTCCACATTATAAAATTTCTGGCATATAGCCATGATCTTTGCGACTGATTTACTTTTAAAAAAGAGTGCTAAAACTACATACCGAACACAGTAGTTCCTTTAGACATGAGTGTGGATGCCACATTTAATTAAATTATGTGCAGTGCTCTTAGTAGAGTCATGCCCATAATCCTTTGCTTTATCAAGAAAGTCTGTATAGTTGTGCAGCGCACATTTAGATGTTAAAAAGAAAGGGACATGGGTAAGTAAAAAGAATTTCAATCTTTTTATGATCTCTTTTGCTTTATACTCTCAGAAATGAATAGCCCCCAGCTGGTTTCCACATTCTTCCTTGGACAGGAGACTCCTGAGTTTCTCTCTGTCACATGATAGATGCTGTGTGAGTATGTTCTCTTCTAGGTTACTTTTAAATACTAGCCCCTTTTTATGAATCATTGCTTGTCATCTGAGAAGATCAAATATGACCAAATGGTTAACATGGCATGTAGGTGAAATGAGAAAATCACCTTAAGCCTGTTTATCAAAAGAAATATTCATTTTGTAAATGCCTGATGTATAGTTTAGGCTCTTGCCTTTTATTTTTGCAATTCATACTCATCTCAGCACTACTAGCTATCTATCACGCAATAAACAGGTAGACATTGATAAAGAAGAGCAGGACTGACAAAATTAAATTAAATCAGCAAGGGATTTTTAAAATTAAGACCCAATTCTACAGCAAGAGTACTGGTAACATGCACTGAACAAAATATTTCATCCAGATAGGATGAATTAGAATTAGGATACCACAGGTAACAATTTTGGCATGGCCAAAGCCATGTGCAATGTGCTGTTGCTGTTGTTGTTTTTTATATTGAAGAACACACCATAATGCCACACATATCTAAATGATTGATAAGAAGAGGGTTATATAAGCAAACCATGTGCATGGATAAGTTAGCACATTGTCAATGTTTTTATAGTCTTAAGTTTTTAGGTAATGATAACCACAGCTAACTTACACATTCTTCCTTGGTTGCAAGCCTTATGATTTTTGTCTTTGTAGGATAGACACTGTATGAGTATGTTGAATGTTCTTGTTTTGGTCTGAGTTATTTTTAAAACCTGTTGTTATCACTTGTTATCTTGGTAGAGCAGCCATCATTGATTCAACATCAGCCAGCCCTCTTCTTTACTAATTTACATTTATTGAACAATTGATCAACAGAACTATTGAAATAATATTGAGTCACAAGTAAATGTGACTTTTTAGTTTTATAATTGGATCAATGAGTAAGTCATTACAAGATTTATTCATGATTAAAGTTAGGTTGAGAAGTATTTCTCACGAGAATGATGCTATTTATGAATTTAAAAGCATTGTATTCTATTAATCCATAAAAAGATCAAAGTTTTACATCTTTGGGTAAAATGGTTAAATAATAACCAGAAATTCCTTTAGGATCAAGGCTTTGTTCAATATTATTTATTTTTCCAAAAGAAATATAATTATATTTTTTTTGTTCTAAAGTGACTAATAAAATGAGATAAAGAAAGCAAAAATAGCAAAGGGAGTGATTTAGAGGAATCCTTAAGACCAGAGGACTGTGATTTCAAGACCAGTTTTGGGCTTGCAACAGCAAGGCACAAGAATAATATTTAAGATAATAGAAGGTCATTAAGAGATAAATGGCTCCAAGATAGTTCCAACCATTGCTAAGAATGATAACACAGTTTAACATTTTGAATGATCACACAGGGAAACTATTCCTCTCCATAGGGCTGATGGATTTCGCAAGAGAAAGTGCCATCACAAACCACTTACCTTTTTCTGTTTCTATTTTTAGCCTTTGATACTTGATTTTTTAATTAGATTTTTTCCATACAATATATTATATTCTAATCATGGTTTCCCCTCCCTTATCTCCTCATAGATCACACCCACCCAACTCTACCTCTTCTCTCTCTCTCTCTTTGGAAGACAAACAAGTAAATAATAACAAAATAGTGGACAAACCAAAATAAAACAAAACCAACAAACATAAAAAAGACAGTGACAAACATACACTCAGAAAATCCATAAAAACACACAATTGGAAATGATAATATATCAATAAAAGACCAGGAAAGTTCAAAATAAAAATACTCAGGAAAGTAGCATGATATTAAAAATCTCCAAATATACCATCTAGTTCTTTTTGTGTCACCCTTTCTTGAATGGCATGGAAGATAACATGCAAATGAATATAGATGTAAGAAGAATCTTTTAATGCTTGTTTTATTTTGTACTCTCAGAATAGATGTCTTCATCACTGGTCATCGGGTTCATGGAGCATAGGGACCAATGTGAGTTAAAGTTCTTGTCTTGGTTTTAATTTGTTCTTGATTTCTTAAAGGCATTACATAGAATACAGGGACTCATGGCCCAGTGAGAAATATGATGTGGCCATGAAACTCTTGATTGACTAATTAACATTTTGATATTAATATTGATGTAAGGGCCCAAAGCAGCCCACATATAGCTGGTTTTCATGATTCATAATTTTCACTAGTGAATGAATAACCAGCTAATAAACAACTATAAATTCATCAGAGGAACTAGAGGCTAAGGTTGGACCAGTGATGACATCTTGTTGGGTATGAGCCGTGGATCATGACAACAGGTCTGGAAGTCTGAGTTCCACACCTTAAAGCATCTAGTGTGTATGTCCTGATTCTAGAATTACTTGTTAGGTATGGTCATATATGTTATTATTCATCATTTGAATTTTTATTTTGTTTTGAAAATTGAGTCAATTAAAGAATCCTTATGCAAATATATATAAACAAAAATTAAGCAGCTCAACACTGTTCAGCATGATAATCATGCCAGTTGAGAAACAGTAATAGGTGGTAGTTATTTAGAAAGCAAGGCTTAATGGTATTACTAGCTAAGAACAATGCATTTTGTAAAAATAATCTTGAGTCATTGTTTTGTTCAGGGCTTGAGTATTCATTATTGTTTTATCAAGTAAATGAAACTATGACAATTTAGCTCCTCCCCAAGTAAGTTAAAAATGAAGGGATAAATGGATAATATATATTTTTGTGATTTTTTTCCTCTGTATACTGTCAGCATAGAAGCTTTCACAGTGATGTCCACAGTTACCCTACGTGTCAGGAATACAGAGACCAGTGTGAGTATGATAACATCCCTTGACTTTTCCCTGGGTGGGGTCGTCAAGCTATTGGCAAAAGCATCCAGATTGCACTTAAGCCAACTATGTCTGACTGAGAAATAATTGTGGCCATCAAACATTGTGCTCTTTAATTAATACTTGCAATATGGAGAACAATAAAGAAAAAAGAGGTTCCCCTCAAAGTAGTGATAGATGCTATAGATGGCTTAAGGATGTTGTTCTTAACTCTTTGTGATTCAGAGTCACAGAGTAACAAACAAATGTAGAAATTGAAGGAAAAGGGAAAGGACCTATCTTGGGTCAACGATGACCATTGGTACCCTGTGAGTCATACATCATGATTCCAGTTCTGGAAGTCTGTGGACAACATTGACTCTTAGAAGTGGTCCTCTCCACAAATGTGGAAATAGAGAACACATTACACCCTTGCTGGTAGTGTTAATTGATTTTGATTATATTGCATATAGATGAATAAAGAATCAATAGATTCATAAGATAAAAATACGAGTAAGGGGAATTATACTATTATTAAAATTGTAGAATGAGGATGAAGGGCATTACTACTATATATTGGAAATGTTAGACTTTTATTAGAAGTTCCAATATATTCCTTCTGCCAGATGACAAGGACTGCAGAAATAATTGCCAATGGTCTTATTTTGAGTTAGTAGAAAATTTAGTGCTATTCTGTTTCTGAAGAGAAAGTAAACATGACTGGGTCATTGGAAGGTAAATTGAATGGGCAGAACAGCATCTCAGTACTTCCTTGTCTGTCTTCTCAGAAAGCCCAACTCCAGAACAATGGATGGCTGCTGCCTGGCCCTGAGCTCTAAGGTTACCTATGCCATCAGGGTCACAGCTACAATCGTGAGTAATTACAGCTTCATCTTTTATCTTTTCAATGTTTTCCTACAGGATTTTTTATCTAGACATGTGATGTGCTTACAATGGTCAGGAAAAGGCAACCATCAATATGTGATCATATACAATATTGGACAAGTTTTGACCTGGACTAATAAAAAATGCCTGGATACCACCACCTGTAATTTATACATGGTAAATACCAGATGTATTGGACTCAAAAGTCAAAATCAAAGAAAACTTGAGTTACCACCTCTGTTGGCAATAGTCCTGTAGTAAGTTCATGAAAAGATGCAAGGGTGGTATCCATAGTCTTTTATGCTATTATTATAATTTTACATATTAATGTTAGAGAAAAGATCAAATGTAAATAAATCATCATTCAATTATGACAATGTCAGAAAGGAAGACAATCTATCACCATAAATTAAAAACAATGAAACCAATTAAGGATGACATGGAGACAAAGGCAGTTGCTAGTTCAGTGGTAGCACCCTTGCCTTGCATGTGTGAGCCCCTTGGTTTTATCCTCGGTGCCACAAAAACAAAGAAATAAGGAAAGACAATCTTCACAAATGTTACTTATTTGGCCACATGCAGGAATCATTATGAACAGGAATAGGCAAACGAGTAACAGGAAAGTGCACACATGTGCAGTTGTGTTTGCAAGCTTCTGAATGATGGAGAGAAGTGATCGAGGCCAGTGAGTGCACGGCACCCTATTTTCAAGCCACTTATTGCTTTGCACCTCTACTCATCAGTGTAGTGAGGTTGGTGTCAGATGCCTTTGTGTTTGACACATTGAAGCTAACTAGAGTCGTAATGTCTCATTTGCCTGAACATGCTATTTTTTGAAAGTATTCCTTATGATGTTGGAACACTCAGTTCTAACTGAGATGTCTCCATCAAATCCCTCCCTTCAGGGATCAGGGAAGCCTATGGAAGAGGAGGTGGAAAGATTGTAAGAACCAGTGAGACTGGAAGACATACACCAAGGAAGCAGACCTTCTAGACACAGCAGGACTGATACCGATATCAATGAACGCATAGAGACTGTGGCAGCATGCCCAGGGCCTGCACAAGTCTAAGCCAGATGGGGTCCCAGCGCTGTGAGGGGAACTGGACATAACCCTGTAGTCCCAACTGATAAACTCTCTCAAAGGAAACTCTGTTTTTCTGTGACGGACTCTCACTGGACATATAAAGAACCTGTAAGATCGCCATAGACCTGACCTCTATGCTCAAATTGCCAACACAAAATGAACTCACATGGACTCGATGGCATTCTTGGAAGCTTTTGTGACACACATGCTTTGTTTGGTTATTGTTGTTTGCCCTACAGATATTTTGCTTATATATTGTGGTTTCTGATTGTATTTTTTGTGAGTTTTCTCTATGTGGGAATGCATGTGTCTTAGCATCTGTATTTGTTTCTGGTGATTTTTCATTCTGATGAGAGAATGAAGGAATGGGTTGGGTTAGGGTGGGTGTGTAAATAGGGAGGACCTGGGGGGGGAGTTGGGAGGGTTAACTAATACCCATATATTGTATGAAAACGTATGTTACCAATAAAAATATTTCCCTTATCATTAAAACAGTGTGAAGTACGATTATTGAAAGTGAATGGAAGACTCAATTGAAATATGAGTGAATGGATCCTCCTTAATTAATTGTATGAACTACATCATGAGATAAAAGATGTTGAAAATATGGAAGTCCATGTGGAATGGGGGTGGATTGCACCTAAACACATTAGAGGGCACTATTTTGGGCTAAGAAAAGTTGAGAGTGTGCATTAGTGTCTCTAGTCACATGATTATAACACACAGTCAGTGGTATAGCACTGCCAAGTATCCACAGGCCCTACTTCCATCATCAGCACCAAAAATGAAACTGGTCATTGGTCAAATACCCCTTCTTCTTAATGAACCTACCAATATTAAAAAATAGTAACACATTTGTGTGTTCTCTCCAGAAAATATAAATATCGAAAAATAAACATTTAAATCACCAAATTAATTAAACTCGGCAGTGAAGACTTAAGAGAGACAAGGACATATGTATTTTTTAATGAAGTATTCTACATTGTGATCCTTGCAAAGAACATACTTGAAAAGGACTAAGTTTGAGATTTGCCTATAGCCATTGATGCATGAGTAGCTCTATAGGGATGGACCATAGAGACGGATGTGAGTTTTAATGTATATATAAAAGTATATAATTTATAAGTTTTACTGAATATATACTCTTCATTTGAAATGTATCAAATATAATTGAACGAAAGTAGCCATGGTCAATATAGAACTGATATGCAGTACTACATTGGTCAGTCACAAGTTAGTTATATTTTCATGGCAGCAAATGATTGCCCAGATAGATGAAGAACTAGCCGAGGTTCATTCACGTTTATATTGTATTAGTCTGTAGACCTTTGATCATCCACAGGCAGCTAGTGAGTTAACTGGTAAACAAGGTTTAGCCAGAACCCTGGATCAGTAGAACTCCTGGTGTGAGTCATAGGTGGGGAAGTGTATCTGGAACACGGAAGCCCCAGAGAAAAATAATTATAACTGCTGCTCACTCCAGGGTGAATGCTATAGATAGATACACAATTTCATAAGAGTCTTGTCTAAATTTGTTTTTCACAGGTTTTGATTATTTTGCAGTCAGGAAATCAATAAGAGAATGTACAATCAAAACACTTGGTTGGACATGTTGAAGAGGTATGTTATTTTATTGAGTAATTTAAAAGCATAAAGAATCAATGTACAATTATAAATAAGTAAAGATGAAGGGGGCATAATATCATATAATTATAACAAAATAAGAAAGAACACTATTAAAAGTATTAATGCTAATACACAGTGATAATTGGCCAAGAGACAAATGTTCAGAGATCTGTCCTGTGGCTAATAGAATCTAAGTCATGGCTGATATTCTCACATTGGTTAATGGAAGTTCAATGTTGCCTTGTTCTTCTTAATATACTATGAAATATACATTAAGCAAAATCAAATAAATCCGAATGATTGAACAGTAACTCAAAGATACCAGGGTCAATGGAAAAATGTTTCAATTTTATCAGAGTCTGCTTCACTCTAGTGAGGTTGAGTCTATACTGGGCTATATAAGTCCCGCCTTTAAGAAAATCCAAGTACACAATGTACACAGTAAGGCAAAAATGGAAAAAAAAGGAGTGTGTCTGTGGCCCTTCTTAGTGTACACAGTACAGCAGCAAGAATAGTTAATGTGAACATGCACCCAAACTAGCCTCCCCCCAAAAAGCCTATGAAAAACATCAAGGGTTTTAAAAAAACCGAGTTTTTCTAATTAATAGATATTTGTAGTGTTGCTTTAGATATTTATTAACTAATTAATTAACACACTAGATGAGAGAAAATAAGTAGAAATGAATCCCACAGTGGGTACACTGTCTGGAGCTCTCAGGTCCAGTAAAGACTGGAACAAATGTGTCATTTGAGGTTGAAGGGCTCTTCCTTATGGATGCTAGGAACTTAAAGGGAGCTTTTCCTTAGATTGTTTTTATGTAGCAATATTCTTGTAGTGTCTACAGATAAATCTACACTATGAGATAAATTAAAATAAATTATTTCAAATTCCTATACACATATGCATTTTGATGAATGAGCATGGACTGTGTCTCAATCTCCTTTTTCTCTGTTTTGCTTTTGATATCCTAGGCTGAACTGTGAACCGTCTTCTGTGTTCCTGAGGTTTCCAGTCCCCACCATTGCTCTCTTGGTAAGAGCATTCTGTCTGCTATAACAGAGTAATTGGTTTGTTTTGTTTTCTCTTAAGTGTATTCATTGTAGCATTTAAAATAAGTATGGAATATAATTTTTCAAAGACAGTAGTTCAAAGTATTGCTGAAATTTGTATGAAATACCTTGATTCTTCAATATTGGTGACCCTGAGGATAATTGATGCAGAGGGGCTTATTCAATGAGAGATTAATTTCAAAGACAAATGACAAGGGTGTAGAGGTAATGTCCTTGAGCTTCTGTGATTAATTCATTTATTATTAGTAAATCAATGAGTCAATCAATAAACAGCTTTAGATAAGAATGTAGATGGACCCACACCAAGCCCAGTGGTGGTGACTCAATGGTATAGGGCCCTGCCATTGTCTGTGCCTCTCAGAAACAGAGGCCCAAGACAGATATATGCTTACTCTATTTCTGTCTTGTTAATGACCCTGTGGAGGATGGTTAGGGATATACAATGATCTTGTTTGTTACATTTATTTGTCTTGGGATGGTTATGGCAGTTTCTCCCACAGCATATACCTGTGGAGGCCAGAGGACATCTTCTGGGAGCCAGTTCTCTCTTTCTCCCATGTGGGTCCCAGGCGTTGTTCATCTGACTTGGTGGCAGGTGTCTCTGTCCACTGTACCATCTCACTGGTCCAGGACCTTGTTTTATTTTTGTATTTACACACTTCATTTTATTGATGTAAGTTGCTTGTAGACCAGTAAACATTTATATA